TTCTCTGAACATCGGGGCTGACACAGGTTTTTTCAGTCACGTACGGATTAATGTATGCCATAAGTTTGGTAACAAAGTTGGCAGGTGCCCCCCCCCCCCCCCCCGGGGCTGCTATGCGCGCACGTCCTTGTGGGCTGGGATGCCACATTATGAAATCGGTTGTAGGCTGGGCCGATAAGCTTGACATAGCTTTGATAAGAACTTGGTGACATAAGCTTGACGTATAAATAATCATTTATTTTTACCATTCATTTCATTCAAACAATGTATGCAGTCATGCATTTCACTGACTCCATTCAGTCATCTCGTCCATTCATTCTATTCATCTCACTCGTGACATTCGTCTATTCCATCCATATATTTGTTCATACATTTCATTCATTCATTTTTCATTTAATCCACTATCCATTCATTGTATTCATGCATTCCATTTGTTTTCATTTATTAGGCTGTTTGTTCATTGCAATAATTTCGGGCTAACTAATGACAAACTTTGGTGAGGACATTTTGACGTCCCACAATGCTCGGCACGGCCGCCCTGCCCTCCAACCTGACTTGACCTGGCGTGACCTGACCTTCGCGGCCGCTGCCACCGACCGCAGGTCATATCTCTTAAGGGAAAATAACGAGCGCTCAAAAAACTCAAACCCAAGCCGCCATGGGTGGGTGGATTGGAGGGCAGGCACTCTGTCCAACTCAGCTATCGGGGTGGACAGAATCTTTGATTTTATTCCTTCATTCGTTCGTTCATTTCATTCATTCATTCGTTCTATTTAGCTCGCTGGGTTCATCCACGCATCCATTCTATTTAGTCATTAAGCTCATTTCATTCATGCACTTCGCTCGTTGATTTGTTCAGTTGATTTCATTCATTTATTTTATTGATTCATTTCATTCGTTGATTCATTGACAGACAAGTGCTGGTGGGCTGGCAATGACAAATGGCACGTTCATCTGCAGTGCTAGCGCAGACCAATCCAAACATTTTGTCCTGAACATTTAAGGGACTGAAATATCAGTCCGTCGGAGTGGGGGTTGACGAAATTAAGCCAACTACACCTATGGATGTGTTGCAGTGCTAGCCAGCGCCTGACGCGTGGTCGTTCTGTTCTGTAACCCAGAGATGTGCAGGGCTGTTCCGGGCCGTGGACTTCATGGAATGGTTAGCCATGCCATCGCCGCTCTGCAATGCTGATGGGAGGTGTACCATTGACATCCGAAATTGTGTTATTTAGGTTATCGCAATTTCGCGACTTGAATACAGTCCACTTCCCGCTTCTGAACCAATTTCCTTGGTTTCCGGCTGTCTGACACCTTGCGGGCAGGTGTCGGGGTGGTGGCACGCTGGTCGTATACGGCCGGGCCGACAGCCGACCGGAGCTGCTGCGGAGGACGTGCGGCTCCAGCCGCCCTGCTGCTCTCATGTCGCCCGACAGTCGGCTGTTGCTGGAGCTGGCCACAGGCGGCGCCACCGGCGACGCTGCCGGCTTCAGCGCCACCTACCAGGTTGAAGAAAGCATCATGGCCTGCTCTGCACAGGGAGGCGCACATGACAGACACTACCTGTGAAGTAATTCAGCTTGACTCACACGAACCGTAATTATGCTCAAACAGCAGCCTTGCAAGGGCGTTTGAGCTCATGTGTAAGCGACGGCACTTCCGCGGTCCCTGAATAAAATATACGCCATGGTCGGTAAACAACTGAACGCAACTTCACGCGCTGCGCACCGGAGACCACGCGCCTGGGCTGCACACAAAGTACACGCACAACACGCACATTTCACGATCTCCAAGATATCAAACTTGAGGACGCAGCTCTTAAACACTGTCCGCATTAACTTACCCTAGCACGCTTTCGTCGCCACGTTGACGCCAGGGTCTGTTCTTTCCGCTGCACTACCTTTCGATGATTGATGGCGATTTGGGGTCTTTGGGCGCGTTGCCTGCAGGTCATGCAGCACCCATTCCACTACCCATCAAAACACCGACAGCCTGACACGGAGCTTAACGCTCCATCAAGAATTTATTCGATGCTACAATTAACATCAAGAGAGCGTTCAACTGACCAGAAACCTACTCCGTCGCCTTCCGTGGGACACGCGGAGATCCTTGCGGCATCGCGGGCGGGCGCGGAGCGCTGCGAGTCGAGCCCGACTGTCTGAATCTCACACCAAGTACATCGAGCCAACTACACCGAACAAACACATGTATCTAGGGCGGCCCACCGGGCCCACTTCCTCGTCATGGCGCGCGCACACCTCTTGTTGGGTTAATTCAGAACACAAAGCCGGCGGCGCCCGTCCTTCGTGGCGGGTCGGGCGCCAGCCGCCAGCCGCGGACTCACAGAGCCAAACCGAGGTTAAGTAGTTGCTTTTAACAGCTGACTCCACTCCGGCACGCCCCTGTGCCGGCGAAGCCCTTGGAGTGGAGCGCGACTGCCGTGCGCTCGGCCACGCCCCGCCGGCCGGCTGGCGACGGGCCGGCGCGCGGCGCCCAGTCGTGCCTCGCGGCCGTCTACCGATGATTCCGATGTGAGAATAAATTAAATGAAAGACATCGAGACAAAGTCGGTGCCCGGCGGTGTCGGCCAACGGCGGCGGGCGCCAGCCTCGCACCACCGCCGGCAATTTCGCGTTTTGGCTTCAGACGGCTGAAACGAGACGCTACTTGACGAAACACAACATGAGAAATCTCGAAAATCCTCTATCACATTCACGTAAAACCTGGACAGCAGTACGTTGCCGGTGGGCAAACTATGCCAGTGCTCCAAGGGCCGGGGCGGGCGCGCGCGCCGGTGCAGCTGATACCGCCAACGGCCGCTCAACAAAGTTAGACAACCCAAATACTGTTAAATACCGTGCCGTCAAATGTCGAGCGAGCGGAACAAGCGTGTTATGCGTCAAAACCGAAGTCTGCAAAGGTTGGCGATCTTCCCTTCAGCCAGCGCGGGGCCGGGTCGGAAGGGGCCGGGGCATCGGTGCTGCCACCACGCGGAGACACTTGAAACCACTGTTATCGGATGGTAACGACTTATGCTTCAAGACAACCGCTGCCAAATGTAGACATCCGACTCTTCGAATTCCCCAGATCGAACACAAATCGATTGGTCGAACAGTTTCGGTGAATTAATTCTTGTCGACTCCCATCACTTTTGAACAGAAGACGGACCCAGTGAGACTCCTCCGGCGCCGGCTCGGGCGTCTCGCCCTGGCGGCGGCGGCGGGGGCGGCAGCACCCGAGCCCCGGCCCGCAGCGGGCGCCCACAGCCCCGGAAGGTACAGCGCAGACGGAAGGTTCGGCCGGCCAGGCAGCGGACCGCCGCCTCAGGCCATCTTGGGCGTGTAGGCGGCCGCGTTGGGGTCCAGCTGGCTCTTGGGTGGCTCGGCCGTCATCTTGAGGTCGTAGAGGTCCGAGTTGGCGCCCGGGTATGGCTCGATGCCGCCGTAGCCGTTGTGATCGCCCGAGACGCCGGCCGACGAGAGGCCAGGCATCACGGACAGCACATCGGCCAGCTTGGCATGCAGGTCCGAGATCTCGCGGTCCTTGGCGGACAGTTGCGCTGTCGACACGGGCGCGGGTCAGACACGGGCGTGGGGGAGGGGGGACAGATCAGGGGGCTACGTCGCCGAGGTCACTTCAGGAACACAGGCGTCAACAAAGCTGAGCTCGCGAACTGACCGCGCATCTAAGCATAGTATCAACGGTGTTAACTGCGTCGCGATGCCCGGGGCATGAGCTCGAACGCCCGCTTCGACCGCGCAGACGTGCCCATCCGAGGCCCACGCGCCAATTGCAAGAACCCGACGCCAGCTGCTCACTTTTGTTTATCTCCACCTCTCGCTTGGCGTCGCCCAGCGCCGCGAACAGGTCCATCTTGAGTCGCGTCTCGGAGGAGAGGTTCTTCTCCAGGTACTGGTTCTTCTCCTGCATGGCCGACAGCGCCGACATCAGCACCTCCGAGTCGCTCTGCGAGTCCTTGATCTCGTGAAGGCTCTGTAACGGACGGCCAGGGGCGGGGTGAGAGCGTTGGCGCCGCGGTCAGCGGCGGCGGCGTCTCCGCGACAGCGGCCGGCTGAGCTCATAGCAACAGGACCGCTGGCAGAAACGCGACCACTCTCCGACTGTGATAACCTGAAGTGCAGCAACAACCGCTGGAACGATGCGCTGGTGTCGTTGATATACCCGCAGGAGTCTGTTCGCTTGTGGCTGGGAGAATGGCTTCGAAAAAACAACAGAAAACAGGGACCTCATCCCCTCAATTGCACAGCCCGATGTGATTTACTGATTGCAATTCTTCTACATCTATTTTGGACCTATTTTGGTTGATTAGCTTGATGTCGAAGTTATTTGTCGTGGGTGTTTCAGATGTCGTGTCTTCGGATGATTTCTGCAGCAATGGCCTACGGCAGAAAATTCGCATAAAACGCTTTGTGGGTGCTTTTAATGCCACTTATGACTGCTAGACAAGGAAAACAGGGTCAAAATAAGGACAGCCTCGACCCTACCATCCCTCCCGGGAGCACTTTCTAATGTAAATTTTCAGGAACAGGTGTTCGCATCGCCGTAATCTTAGCAACGTAGCTAAACGGACGCAAGACGTGCGCGTCCACATGGCGTCTCAGGCACAAAACGCTGAAACCGGATGCGCGGAAATGCTTGCCGATATCTGACGCGTGACCATCCCTCCAGCATCTTCATTAATCATGTTCATTTAAATGCCGTACTGCGTCAAACAAGAAATCATTTGTGTACATGAAACCATGCCAAGCGCCGCCCACTGGCCGCCGCCTTGGCCGGCACTGCCGCCAGCCTGGCCCAGCCCAGCTGAGCCGAGCGCCGCCCGCTCGCCGCCGCCTTGGGCAGCACTGCCGCCAGCCTGGCCCAGCCCGGCTGAGCCGAGCCGCCGGCCGGCTGGCCGCGGCCAGGCCCGCCTCACTGACCTGCAGCTCGCGCTAGGCCGGCCGGCCGCGGCCAGGCCCACCTCACTGACCTGCAGCTCGCGCTCGGCTGACCGCACGCGGTCCTCGTACTGCTTGTTCTCGCGGCGCAGCTGGCGCGTCTCGGCCTCGAGGTCACGGCGGCGCGCCTTACACTGCTCCGTGCAGCGGGGCGCCTGCTCGGCCGCCTGCGCCACCTGCCGAACAAGCGCCGAACACGCTATCGCACGCGCCGCACCACGACCGGCGCCAGATGGGTGGCCGGGTGGACACAAAGACGATCGTAGGAACGACGTCACGGTTCTAGGGCGGGGTGCATACTCCAGACATCATGGTTGTAGCCAACATCAGCCAGCCCCGCCCAACACGACGTTTCCCATATGCGAGTGTGAGAGACGGGACCTTCCAAAGCTAAAAGCCAACTGCCAAGAAAATGGGGTCTTCATTCACGCCCTCCCGCCGGTTAAACCAGCTTTCGGGTCCACGAGGCTCCAGCAACTCATTACCACGGCCGAAGCGGCTGACGGGGGAAACATCGCTAGCTTAGCGTCGGCCGGGAAGGCACTGGCGTGAGTCTCGCACGGGATCGTACCTTTTTCTTCTCCTGCTGCAGCTGAGACTCCAGGCCCTGGCGAAGCTTCCTCTCTTCAGCCACCTTCTTCTCCAGCGTGACCACCGTCTGTTTGTCCTGCTGCCGACACGTTACCAGATTGTGCAGCCTGCAAGCGAAAACAGGGCCTCGTGTTTAAAGACTGGAGTGATGACAGTGTGATGTGCCGCGTGATGTGATGTGATGTGCTGGAATGCCAACAGCCGTCAGCGACACGGGCTAACGAATGTGCTCAGCATAGGAACGCAAGTCCACGCTGCCGTCCACTGATCAGCCTGTATCTTCAGTGTCATCACATCCTACGACAAGGCCCTGACTCAGGCAAAGGCGCCAGAAGTCTGATGTTGGTGTTTGCAGGTTGGCGGTTCTGACCAGCGTTCTGAATCACAAAGCTAGCGCGAATGGGGGATGTTTAAGCCAGTTAATAGGTGATGTGCACATTATAAGCTACGTACATACAGCACTTCCGCTCAGTGCACCGCTACTGTATTCATCCAGATTTGGTGTCCGATAGTAACGCTTACATGATCAATGAAGAGTGACGGGCACAGAGAGAGTAAAAAGAAAGACACGCGATGAGCTGCACAAGAAGTGATACTGGTGGACGATTTCTAGCAACGATATAAATTTGGATGCTCAACCTTCCTCGTGCGCATGACATTCAGAGACTTTCGGAGGCTCATGCGGTGCTATCTGTCGTTACGACTGAAGCCCACGGACATAACCCACGATAAAACTGAAGCGGAAACACCCCGCCTTTGACTGTAGCTCTGAAGAACCCTGCCTATCAAGCGTCGCGAGCCAGGACTCCGCAGCGTCCGCTTCTATCAGCCTCTGCCGCCCTATCGTTGACTGCGGCGGGTGGGGGAGGGGGGAGGAGGCGTGTAAGGGTTTACCCGGTACGGACCGGGAGCCGACCGACCAGGCGAGTGGGCGCACGCTTCTGCGCTCGCCGGCCACGCGCGGGGTCACGACAGCGGACGGGGCCGACGGGACGGAGCCGGCTGACTCGCACCGAGCCGATGCCTGCCGCCCGCGGAGCGGAGCCAGAGCTCTTCCGGGGCTGAGCAGCCCCGACCGCTGACCGCGCGCGTCAGTGACGGCGGGGCGGGCTCGCTCAGGGCGGACCAGTGTCAGTCCGAGTGCGGGTCATCAGCGCCACTGACCCCGTGCATCGGCGACGGCGGGGCGCGCTCGCTCAGGGCGGACCAGCGTCAGTCCGAGTGCGGGTCATCAGCGCCACTGACCCCGTGCATCGGCGACGGCGGGGCGGGCTCGCTCAGGGCGGACCAGCGTCAGCCCGAGTGCGGGTCATCAGCCCCACTGACCCCGTGCACCGGCGACGACGGGGCGGGCTCGCTCAGGGCGGACCAGCGTCAGTCCGAGTGCGGGTCATCAGCGCCACTGACCCCGTGCACCAGCGACGACGGGGCGGGCTCGCTCGGGGCGGACCAGCGTCAGTCCGAGTGCGGGTCATCAGCGCCACTGACCCCGTGCATCGGCGACGGCGGGGCGGGCTCGCTCAGGGCGGACCAGCGTCAGTCCGAGTGCGGGTCATCAGCGCCACTGACCCCGTGCATCGGCGACGGCGGGGCGGGCTCGCTCAGGGCGGACCAGTGTCAGCCCCGCCCTCCGGGCGTCAGCTCCCCCGGCCGGGCCTCACTTGGACTGGAGACTGTCGTTGTCAAGCTGGAGCAGCTGCAGCTGGTTGCGGGCGTTGCGCTCCTGGATGACCAGGTTGGACACCTGCGAGCGCAGCTCCTGCTCCGTCTGCCGGCTCGAGTTGAGGTCGGCTCGCAGTCGCTTGACGTCCAGCTCCAACCTGCGGCCGGACACGACACAGTCAGCGGCGGCGAGCGCACCGCGTGCCGACCGGCGCCTACCACAACACCACCCGCTACGTGCTCCTCCTACATCACCATGCGGCCCGGCTAGCAGCGACGCGGATTGTAGGAAGCGAAATAGAGTGTACGGCTTGAGGCGTTATGGTGACGGCGACATCCTCACGCGACGTCTGCGAGCTCCCACTGCAGCTGTACGATTTAATCCATCTCGCCTTGCGTGCGTAGTTCACGCAGATTTCTGGAAAGATTGCGATAAAGCAGTGACGACATCCGAGCATAACCAACGACGCGTTAGTACTTAAAGTAGCGGCGGGGACGGCGACGGCGCCGAGGGCGCTAGCGACTCACTTTGTGACGTTCTCGTCCTTGGGCGGAGGCCCCGAGGTGACGGCCGCCACCGGCGCCTCCTTCGCCCGCGACTTTTTCTCCTTGGAGGAGCAGCTGCTGCTCGTCCACTTGGACGACCGCTGCGTCTGCGAGCAGTTCTTGTAGTTCTTCTCCTTGTCTTCCGACTCGTCGAACTCGTTTATGGACCTGTAACGCGGCAATCACACATTCTAGGAAGCATTCATGGACGGGAGTATTGTATTACCAGCCTATCGAGAAGCCCGGGGTACTGGCACAAAGCAGTTACACTGTCGGGCCCATCTCGGAAGTACTCTGTCGACTCATCTCAGAAGCACTCGTCGAATCCATCTCAGAAGCACTCGTCAGGCCCATCTCAGAGGCACTCCGTCGAGCCCACCTTAGAACCACTATCAACGGCCCCTCACGCGGCACAGTCGCAACTAGCACACTCTGGCCTTGTCGCATGCTACACTCCTGTCACGATGGGTTTCCACACACGGCAGCACAAAGTGGTCATCGACGGGTACCCCGGGCGATGGCTGGAGACCGGGCCATAGGACCCCTCCTCGTCCTCCCAGTGACCTGCACCTGGGAGGGTCAGCTTCGCCACGCGTCAAAGGCGGGGCTATAAAACTGATCGATCACACAGAATGACGGAGCGCCCGAATGCGACACCCACATATCCGCGCTGCCCTCCATCCGTTCGAGGAGAGCACGGACGGTGGGTCAGTCATAACACCTGAGAGTACCCCAGGAGTTGGCGCTTCTGCTGGTTCTGGCGGGGCTTCACGGAGACCTCAACACGGACGGCATGACACCCCGGATTACCCCGGGAGTCGACGTTCTCGCTGGCTCTGACAGGGCTTCACGGAGACCTCAACACGGACGGCATGACGCCCCCAGTGTACTCCGGGAGTCGGCGAACGCATTAGTCCTGACCGGACTCCACACGGTGGGTCAGCCACGATACCAAAGTGGGAAGCCGGGCCAGCCGTTTGGCGCGCCGTCTATAGGTCGTCGCATGCCACGGAGCGGCGAGGCAAGTAGTGGCTACAAAACGGCCGCCAAAGCGCGCCGTGGCAAGACTGAAGCCATACTATCATTATATGCTGGGATGAGGGAATGGAGCCGGTGTATTTCGGGGTATACCCTCGCAAAGTGACCCGACATTTAGCTGACCTTCGGAAATTGCACAGTATGCCATCCGTGATTGACATTTTGCCCGGCGGGGATCTCATTTATTATCGGAGCATTGTGCTCCGAGGTCAGCGTCCGTAAAGAAAGTACATCCCTCACAACGCGCCCATTGCGGGAGGGGAGGCAAAACAGAGTTCTGGGGAAGCCAACGAAATCCGATATAACCATATGCACGGACAAGATAGCGTAGCGACATGGTATCGGGTGTCCTCCCAACAATTGCATTAAAAATAAAGGCATATTAGAAAGTGAGCTCGCCGTCATCTTTATTTCATTTTCATTTTAAGGTTACATTCACGCAATTTTGTAAAATATGATTCCGTTCCAAACAAGAGACAGCCAAGAGGTCACCCCGGTTCTATGAAAACAATGCCGGGTCAGCTGATGGCTGGCCCTCCACTGCGAAGATAGTCACGAAAAAGCCGCAGAGCAAATGGGAGTTACTGAACTAAAAGCCACCATGAACCACGAAATGTCACTTCGTTTTACCCACACCCACGCACGAATAAATTGTAGCCGCACCCAGAAATGAAAGCATGTTCGTTTTCACAACAGCTTTTTCGCAAATCCTAATCTTGCCAGCTTAAACAAAATGACTGAAGGAGCAACAGCGTGAGGCGAGTAACGCTGTCGGGACACCGAGCGATGGCTCGCTCCGGCGGAGACCACCCAGCCAGGATCGCATCCATCAAAGATGCGTTTCCCGACAGCATTCCGATCATCAGCCGCGCTTGAAGACAGAGGCGGGATTGGAATGCGTGCGTTATTGCGAGACACGCCGTTACCCATATCGCTCAAAGGTTAGTTACGCTCACAGCGGCGCGACCAACACTGAGGTCAGTGAGGTCCGGACGGCGTGACTGGGTCAGTGCGGGCCCAGTCACTTGGGTTCGTTGAGCTACTTTTGCTAGCTATTTTTATTTAGCTACTCATTATCATTTATTTCAGTATATTATGAACTACGCACGCTACCTTGTACTATGCCATCAGGACATTCATCATTACATAAAAATGAAGAGACGAGCCCCTGGACAAACCTATCGTTTATTCCACACTTCACAGGGCGTCTCACATAGCTGCCACGAAAATAAAGTGTATCTGTTTGATGTGCAACGGATTACCTGCCAACAAAACAAATTTATGAACCATTACCGCAAGCTTTTTGGAATGTCAAAAAGGTTAATGCTGCATACTTAATTGATATAATTGAAAATGTGCGTTTTTTGCACCAACTTTGATAGGATATAATATACAAACCATATTTGGTTCTAAAGAACAGATTGCATTCAGCTTACTTCACATCGATTGCGGTGTGTCAACTGGCCTCGAGCGCGTCACCAAGGAGAGTTGGTACTGGGTTGCCTTGGGAACAGCTAGGTAAGAACAAGACAATCAAGCTCAACCAATATAATATAATATACAAATCAGGATATAATATACAAACCATATTTGGTTCTAAAGAACAGATTGCATTCAGCTTACTTCACATCGATTGCGGTGTGTCAACTGACCTCGAGCGCGTCACCAAGGAGAGTTGGTACTGGGTTGCCTTGGGAACAGCTAGGTAAGAACAAGACAATCAAGCTCAACTAATTTTACCTCTCGAAACAGGCTCACTTATGCTCGCTCAGAGAAGATGAGAGCCCACTTCAGCGATAAGAAAATCCCCAGCAGAAAACCATGCCCCTCCAAACTGAACGTTATTTGGTGAAATAAGATACTGGAAATCAGAGCATTGACGATATAACAAGCGCAAGAGATCGGCACTCAACCGGCAAGAGGTACGGGAGATCCAGCGACCAATCGATAGGAAACCAGAGGCTCTGAGGCACCTGGCGCAACAAGTGTGACTAACAAGATCTCTTCACAACACGTTTTGACGAAGAGCTGAAACTTACGACCCCTTAATCCACGGTGCGACAGAAACTTTCAGAAACAGATTGTCAGAGCCAGGCCTTTCTGGACAGTATTGGCTGACAGACGAAGCTCACTTCCACGCAGGCGAACACGCCAACCGCTGTAATCACATATTTTAAAGTGAGAAATCCACCAAAGGAGGTCCTGCAATTTCCTTCGCATCCGCCTAGTCACCGTCTGATGTGTGTTTGGTACCTAAGGGATAATCGGACCACCTGTCTTAGAGGACGGTGCCGGTGGGGTGGTGCCGGTCAACTCCTAATGTTACCACAGCATGCTCAAACGCTTTTGGGGCGCTCTCCCCGCCCATGACGTAGCGGGCCGACATTATCACCTCACAAAGGCTTCTCAGCAAGGTGGCGTGACAGCCCACACGCCGTGGACATAACTGACCCAGCTCAACGGGGAAGGACGCCTGGGATCTACGGGCGCCGTCATGAAATAGCCGGCGCACCCGCTCAATTTAATCTCCCTGCATTCATAGTAATGGGGGAGGGGGAGGGGGAGGGGTAACTCCAGTATTGTATGCGCGAAAATCCCGTACATACTGCCTCAACTGAAGCGAGTGATCAGAACTGCGTTACTCGGGATACCGTGGGACACATGTGCTCGGGTGGCCCAAGGGACCAAGCGGCGTGCCACCATGCGTGCTCAACGAAAGGGAGGGCAGCTTGAGGCACGCGTTCTCGTGAGCGACACCCTTCAATGATGGCTCCATGCCATGTAAAGAAACTTTAACATGTCATGCCCTAAGCTAATACTATAATTTAAAATTCAATTTGGGATTAACGACGTCATGAAAAAAACACATCCACACTTCGGGGGCATCCATTACTCGCGCCTTACCAGGCGCGCCGTTCGCACGGAAAGCCGTTGACTCGCGCGGAGAGCCGGGCCAGCACTAAGCGCAAGCTGGCCCCACATACACGGCCCGGAGCAAAGCCTGGATCCGAGGCAGCCCGCCGCCGTCACTCACCCCCTTCGCTGCTCCATAAACTCCAGGTCGCCGTTAAGCGAGCCGTTGTGCAGTTTGCACTTGGGGCTTCGCGCCTCCTCGGACGACTTCTTATTTGACTTTGGCGACGAGTCGTGCGGCACGCCGTTTGAGATGGCCTCTTCCACCTTCTCCGGCGGCACTGGGAACACGGACGGCCGGCCGGTCACTCACCCCATCTCTAGCCTTGACACGGGTCACTGTAAGCATGGCAGCACACCTCTTCCATCCTAACAAAGGAATATGCGAAATAACGGCCGCTGATTTGCGAACCATTTACAATAGAGCATGACATTGTGGGAGATGGGCTTGGTTTTTCGTCCCTGAGAAGAAACCAAAGATGCCTATTTGATCATAAGACCGCGAAGTCGCAGACAAGGGGCAGGTGTTTGTTCAACCCAACACGAGCCAGCGGCCTGTGGCCATCACGCGGAGAAACACCACTGTCAGCCAGATACTGAAATATTACGTCATCCCTTCGATGTCTGATCGGTTCGATGGATACATAACCGCCAAAAATGAATCTCGTTTTGCATTTGTCATATGCAGACTGTGTGTGTGTGTGTGTGTGTGTGTGTGCGTGCGTGCGTGCGTGCGTGCGTGCGTGCGTGCGTGCGTGCGTGCGTGCGTGCGTGCGTGCGTGCGGTGTGTGTGTGTGTGTGTGTGTGTGTGTGTGCTCATAAAGAACAACATGAGACGGCACGGGGCCTCCTTACAACCGTAACATATTTTGGCAAATATACTCCACTGATGTCCCTCCGAAAGGTGAAAAAAAACAGTAATCTGGAAGACAATGGGAATCTCTAGCACAGGTCCTGGACGGCCGCCACCGTCTTAAGCCCGTAATGCGATGTCTGCTAACCACAGGGGGAAATCCATCCTTGCACAAGACCCGATGGATTTTGTCCGTTGCTTGGCAACCCCGACAAACGCATCCACATGGGCACGCGTCACAGACCAGCGGCACTCGCACAGACGAGGCAGGACATCGTTCCTTCGGGGCAATGAAGGAGAAAGGATTGGTAAAAAGCCCGGCCGATTTGCAAAGATAATACAGCCGCGGGGTACAATCACGGCAACGACACCGGCTCCGCGCCCGGCCGTCGTCCCAGAGCCGGGTAGAGCCGCCGGCCGCTGCGGCCGTCCACCGCGGCCAGCGCAGTGGCGGACAGATCGCAGGGCGGCTGTAGATCCCACCCGCTCGCTGGCCGACAGCGGCGGCGCGGAGGCGCGGCGGCGCGGCGACCTGCCGACCAACCGCTCAGCGTGGCCTCTCTATGGCGGTGATGAGGGGCGGGCGACCGTCCGTCGGCTGCTCTGCACGTCTGCGCCGGCAGCGGCGGACGGAGCGCGCCCGGGCTGCGCCTCCTGCCCGCTGAGGCGCGCCGCACCCCGCACCAACCTCGCTCCGCTGCCCCCTGAGGCGCGCCGCAACCCGCACCTGCCTCGCTCGCCTGTCCCTGAGGCGCACCGCGCCCCGCACCAACCTCGCTCCCCTGCCCCTGAGGCGCGCCGCAACCCGCACCTGCCTCGCTCGCCTGCCTCCTGAGGCGCCCCGCACCCCGCATCAGCCTCGCTCCCCGGCGCCACTACCTTTCCTGTCGGGGCTCTCCTCTATGGCCATGTCGGGCGGCAGCGCCTCCTGCAGCAGCTGCACCATCAGATCGTTCTGACGCGCCACAAGCTTCTGCCGTCGCAGCCGGAACCGGTGCCCGACGTAACTCTTAAAACTGAAGCCCAACGATATCACTGGGTAGCCGATACTGAAACAGACGGCGGGCAGAGGACGGTTAGTCAGCCCAAGCCAGCCGGCCATCACGGGTCGACAGGGGCCGCGGTGAGCTACGGCTCCGCCCAGTCCGCGCACATTTCATAACGCACGGAGCGAGGAGGATCGATCGCAGCACCACATGCGATAGGTCGGAGCACATAGACCGGATGTGACCGGGACGGGCAGTGTTGCACCCAGGGAACGGTCATAAGAGCCGGGGGTGGCATTCATGAAATACGGGCGACAACATGTGCGATGTGAATGATCTATTTGGCCTCTCAATGCACGTGCTGGCTATTCCTAGCCCGGCAAAACGATGACGACAGTGATACGGCAGATTCAGGATGATAAGGAATCAGAAGCTTTACGAGTGGTCATATCCACCAACGTACTACTATCGATCGCTTGATAAAAAACGAGCAGCAAAAATGACTGGGCCAAACAAAAACTTACAAAAAGATCATTTAGTCAAAGCTATGCTCGATGACGACGCCACGTCTAAAAAATCTGACGGATCTTTTACACTAGATTTTCCCCGACTCCAGAACAGCCCCAAATACGCTCCGAACGTCAGCATCGATGGATTGATTAACCCAACGGACTTCGCATGTCAGGTGCGGCCCTTCAGACCACGCTTGAACGTAATAGCGCGCCCTGTCGAGCACAGCCGCTGTGATGACGTTGCCGGAGCAACGCGCCCGAGAATTCGGCACAGCATCCGCCGCGATATTATTACGGCAAGCCTCCGAGATCTGCCTCCACCTAAACCATGGCAACCGCCCGTGAAGCGCAATAACACGCCCGTTCAGAGCCGGGAGGCGGCGCAGCAGCACAGCGACGGCGGCAGCACGGAGGGAGGGGCGCGGGATGAAATCCGACGAGACCGAGCGCAGCAGGCTGACGGCACTGCGCCGGGCTGGTCAGCGCTCTGATCCGCACGCTTCAAAACGGGGCGGCGACGTTCACGCCATAACGTTCCCGCTCATGAACAGCAGAAGAGCGCGGGCGAGCAGTGCGGCGCCGCTGGGTTTGCGGGGACGGAGCGAGCGGCGCACCACGTGCGGCATGCGTGCGTGCGGCGGCGGCGGCGGCGGCACCTGCTGCCACGACGGCCCGCAGCCATCGATCGAGGCAAGCCGGGCGGTCACAACAGGTGGCGGCCGCCGTGCGGGGCGCCGCAGCCGCCGCCGCCGCGCGCGCGCACCGTGCCGCGGCGGCGGCGGCTGCGCGTCCCGTCGGCCAGCGCGGCGCGCCATCCTTTCGGTGCGGCGCTATCGTGGGCCGCTGACGGGGCGTCGGCGCGATTGGGTCCTATCTGGCCAGCGTTGACGACATCGGCCGGCGACCAGGTGACGGCGGCCGGCGAGGACACGCGCGCGCGCACCTCCGCGAGCAGGCGCTGGCCGTGATCGATAGCGCCCCTCGCGCCGCGCCGCCGCCGCCGCTCGCGTCGACGTGCGTACGCCCGGCCGGCCCATCGGCCGCTTCCACGCGCTCGCGCGTTATTTCTGGCGCGCGCCCCGTCCGCATGGCGGCAACGCGTCGCGGCCGGCGTGGGGAGGAGGCGGCGCGGACGGATCGGGCCGGTAGTTAGGGGAGCAGCGGCGGCTCGCATTACGATGATGGTGGAGAGCGGGAGGAATTGCGGCGGTGGGGAACGCCGTCTTCTGGTTAAGGCCTCGGATTTCGGCACGTCGCCACGCGGAGGCGGCCCAATCGCGGACGCTGGCGTGGAAAGACGATGGACGGTAGAATATCCTACACGTTATGAAAAGATGCAAGCAGTTGGGAGAGAAGCCGTTCGCAAATCCATATCAATCACAGATAGGTCCAGGACTGTCCACGATCGGGTATGATTTTCAACGTCCTTCTCCGCTTGAACACCACATAAACGGGTACCGGGAAAACACGAAGCTGAATGCAACATACAGTTTAAGCCAGAGAGAAAAGCCACGCAGCATCCGAAACACACAACATTAGCAGCGACAGATCCTCAGGGTAACTTAACTCTGCGCAAAACGAACCGCTCGTTCCCATAAATCACGAATACTTAACCGCCTGCAAATAGACGGCTGCCGCGCACTTTTTGGCACTAAACAGTGAGAAGCGTTTCGTCGACGAGGTAACAAAGGAGCGGTCATCACTCCCATGCCCACATATGCCGCCAGGCTTGGGGACGCTCAATTACCCTATCCACCCGACAATACTGAGGCGAATGAATGACGAATAGCAAAGGGAATACTACCATTACACATTCCCTCTCAGACTTTCATCGTAAGAATACTACCGTTACACATTCCCTCTCCGACTTTCATCGTAAGCAAGACGGTAGAGCTCAACACGTGCAATGGGTACTCGACACCAGCGACATCGAAGCAATTACCGCCTCCCCAACGAAACCCACTTCGCTCCTTCTGCGAGCACACAATGAACCCACTCACCAATGCGCGGCGAAAGGCCGGCTGAAGTCGGCGTGAAAGAAGAGATGCTTCTCGTCTTTCAGCCTCAGGGAGGCCTCTATGTAAATAAATAGGATCCACAAGGAAATTGTGGGCAAGCAGATACCTCGCTCTGAAACACACGGAAAGAAAATCTGTTAACAGAACAGCTCACACTGCACCTTGGGTCTCTCACACAGGACCGAACCACTGCGCTGGATGACCATCAGCGAGCGCAGACGGCAATACACGACGCGACAAAACACAGCTCCGTCACGACAATCTACTGAGCGGGGGGCGTCCCCCAATTAACTAGCAAGACGCCGCTGACGTCTCCGAGCAACAGCCCGGCGCTGCATCAAGCCCGTTCGGCGGCCGTGTCCGCTGCGCAACGAGCCCTGCGTGTGTCGCGGCCAGCGGCGATCGCGTCCGCGGCGGCCGGACGGCATCAGCGGCGTCCGGGGGCGCCGCGCCGCCGCCGGGGAACGGCCGGCGGCGCGCGCCGCTCGTGCACCGGCGTGCAGACGAGCCGTCCCCCGGGCCGCGCGGCCGATCGCGGCCGGCCGCTCTCTCGCACCCAATCGATACGGAGCGGCGGCCGGCCGTCCCCTCCGCCGGGCCGCCGCGACAGCGCCGCCGGCCGACCCCACCGCGGACGGGCCGCAGACGTCCCGCTCCGGCGCCGGCAGCCTCTCTCCCCGACGCGGCTAACTCGGGCTCCCGGCGGCGGCCGTCGTCTCCGGCTGCCCGCGCCCCCAGAGGTCGGCCTCAGCCATGGCACCCTCAGAGCCAGGCCCGCACCCCCAGAGGTCGGCCTCAGCCATGGCACCCTCAGAGCCAGGCCCGCACCCCCAGAGGTCGGCCTCAGCCATGGCACCCTCAGAGCCAGGCCCGCGCCCCCAGAGGTCGGCCTCAGCCATGGCACCCTCAGAGCCAGGCCCGCACCCCAGAGGTCGGCCTCAGCCATGGCACCCTCAGAGCCAGGCCCGCACCCCCAGAGGTCGGCCTCAGCCATGGCACCCTCAGAGCCAGGCCCGCGCCCCCAGAGGTCGGCCTCAGCCATGGCACCCTCAGAGCCAGGCCCACGCCCCCAGAGGTCGGCCTCAGCCATGGCACCCTCAGAGCCAGGCCCACGCCCCCAGAGGTCGGCCTCAGCCATGGCACCCTCAGAGCCAGGCCCGCGCCCCCAGAGGTCGGCCTCAGCCATGGCACCCTCAGAGCCAGGCCCGCACCCCCAGAGGTCGGCCTCAGCCATGGCACCCTCAGAGCCAGGCCCGCGCCCCCAGAGGTCGGCCTCAGCCATGGCACCCTCAGAGCCAGGCCCGCACCCCAGAGGTCGGCCTCAGCCATGGCACCCTCAGAGCCAGGCCCGCGCCCCCAGAGGTCGGCCTCAGCCATGGCACCCTCAGAGCCAGGCCCACGCCCCCAGAGGTCGGCCTCAGCC